AGCCCCCAGGTGGAGGGTGCCCCGTGGGACACTGTGGGGGGGGGGGGGCGCCGGCTACCGCACACAGACGTACTTCTTCCACCAGGCCTTGGAGAGCGTCCGCACCTTGCTGGCCGTGCTGCGCGCCCGGCGGCCCCGGGCCTCGGCGTGCCGCAGCCCCGCCAGGATGGCCGTGTCGAACACCTCCTTGAGGTTCTGCTGGGTCAGCGCCGAGCACTCCACGTAGCCCACGGCCCCCACTTTCTGGGCCAGCGCCCGGGCCGCCGGCTCGGCCACCGGCTTCTCCCGGCGCCGGGCTAGCTGAATGAGCACCTGGACGTCCTGGCGCAGGTCGCACTGGGTGCCCACCAGCAGCAGGGGGGCAGCGGGGCAGAGCCGGCACAGCTCCGGCACCCACTTCTCCCCCACGTTCTGGAAGGAGGCGGGGGCCACCACGCTGAAGCAGAGGAGGAAGACGTCTGCCTTGGTGTAGCAGAGCCGCCGCAGCGTGTCAAACTCGTCCTGGGGGGAAGGGGAGGGAGAGCCCGCAGTGAGTGCCTCCAGCCACCCTCAGCTGTGGGGCGGGGGGGTTGTCCCGGTGTCCCTGATGCGGGGGCTGGGGCCCAGGGAGAGAACCAACTTCCTCAGGGCCGCACCAGGAGTCAGAGGTGGATCTGGAAATAGAACCCAGGTGTCCTGGCTCCCAGCCCCCCTGCTCTACCCACTAGACCCCACTCCCCTCCCAGAGCAGGGACAGAGCCCCAGTGCACAGGGGGCCGCAGGGCGGAGCTCGGCAGGTTTGCTCCCTTCCCCGGCACCTCCCGGGCTGACGTGCTCAGACGTGCCGGGGGTTTGAACAGCTGCTGGGAAAAGGTTAAAGGGAGCTCCCAGCTGGACTCTTACCTGCCCCGCCGTGTCACAGAGATGCAGCCTCACGGGGGCGCTGTCCACCTGCACCACGGCTGCAAGGGGAAGAGACCGTTACCCCTGTAGCCAGATGCTCCCCCCTCCCCCCAGCCCCAGGGACATTGCTTCTCAAAAGCAGGTCAGTGGCAGAGCTGGCAGAAACCCCCCCCTCCTCTAACCACTATCCCCCCCCGCGCTTCCACTGCTGGGACACAACCCAAGAGTCCTGGCTCCCAGCCTCCCCTGCTCTAACCACTAGACCACACTCCCCTCCTAGAGCTGGGGAGAGAACCCAGGAGTCCTGGCTCCCAGCCTCCCCTGCTCTAACCACTAGACCACACTCCCCTCCTAGAGCTGGGGAGAGAACCCAGGAGTCCTGGCTCCCAGCCTCCCCTGCTCTAACCACTAGACCAC